ACACTCACTCTCTCCCAGGCTGCTTACACTCACTCTCTCCCAGGCTGCTTACACTCACTCTCCCCCAGGTAGCTCACACTCACTCTCCCAGGCAGCTCACGCTCACTCTCCCCAGGCAGCTCACGCTCACTCTCCCCCAGGCAGCTCACACTCACTTTCCACCAAGAACGCTCACACTCACTCTCTCCTGATAGTTTCCACACTCTCCCCAACAGTCCCTCACTCATTTACCCCTGACAGTTACCCCTCTCTCCCCCTTGACAATTCCCTCTCTCTCCCTGACAGTTCCCCTTCCCTCTCTTGCCCCAATGGTTCACCCTTTCTCTAACAGTCCCTGAATCTCTCTCTCACTGACAATTCCCCCTCTTTTCCCCCGACAGTTCCCTCTCTCTCTCCTTGTCAGCACCCCCTCTCCCCAGTGGTTCATCCTATCTCCTTCTCCATCAAAGTTAAAACTTAAGAACTAGCAGGAGGAGTAGGCAATTCAGCCCCTTGAGCCTACTGTGCTATTTGATATGATCATGGCTGATTAACCGTCTCCTTAAACCTCGCTATTGCCGATCAACTTTCTGGCTTAATAAACTCAAACCCGACAGAGTCAAGTAAAAGCATGATTTGGTTGAGGGCCAGATTATGAAAGTTGCCTGGGATGTTCTGTGTTGTGTAAGCAGCAGCTCTCTCACTCACTGACCTGTTTCAAGCAATGTGTGCGAGCCTGTTGCACATTCGCCCAGATCTGCTCCAGGTCTGTTTCGTTGGGCAGTGGAGTCGGTTCCTCCGTGCAGAACCCTGGATATTGCTGAAGCTCCACCAACTTTGGCTGGACATCAGAACGCTGCACAGCAATCCATGTGAGAGATACAAAAACAGATCAGACTGAAAACAAGCACAGGACAGAGACTGTTCTGCACATCCTGTATGAATTGTCTCCAGTGAGATAGAAGTCACAAGTGAAAGGTGCATGGTGACTAAGACGTGCATCTTTATAAAGCTTAATGGACCCCACACCCAGCCCATCAAGTTAATCTTTCTCTTTCAAACACCATTCTCTCTAAAAGCACTCAGGTCAGTTCAGTCCCAGTAACTACAGACTCCATGTGCACAGAGCACAGTCTTTCAGTATCGGGGGAATGATTGGTCAATATTCAGAGGAAACGGTTTGCCAGTGTTGGGGGGGATAGTCAGTCAATTTCAGTGGGAATGGTTGGTCACGGTCACGTGGAACAGTCAGTCGCTGGCGTGGTAATGTTCGGTCAGTGTCACGGAGAAGGTCAGCCAGTGTTGGGGTGGAATGGTTCTTCAGAGTCTGGGTGAGAGGTCGATGGGGGATTTGTGTGAAACACTGACAATCCCTCATTGACAGAAATGAAATGTTCCCTTTGATGAAATGTAAAGAAAACAAGTGAAAGTGCACAAACCTTGCTCTTTGGGCGTTTCTCCAAAGGTATCTCAGGAAATTTTGAACCATGCGGTGGTCTCAATTCTGGAAAATCAATGAACACTTGGAATAAGCGAGAGACAATGTGCATATTGTCCTAAACTCTCAGTGTTTGAGCAAGATGTCGGTAGAGCAGACAGAGTAACAATAGCCAAGATATTTGTCCACATGCAGGATGCTTGTAGGATAGGAAAATTAAGCTGTTTTAAACACCAGCATCAGTGACACTGCAACAATAGCTCCTAGCAGTATCTGTGACGTAACAACAGTCAGTACAGGCATTAGCCACATGGTCATTACAGTCTGTACAGGTATCAGTGGCGTAGCAACCGTCTGTACAGACATTAGTGACACAGTATCAACAGTTAGCCCCTGTATCAGTGACATAGTAATGACAATCTGTACTGGTACAGTAATTACAAACTGTACCCATACCAGTGACACAGTAACAAGAACTGCACAGCTATCAGCAACATGGTAACAACAGTCTATGAGGGATTATTGACATGGTAACGAGAGACTGTACAGCATCAGTGACATGGTAATGACAGTCAGTACAAGCATCAATGACCCAGTCACAACAATCTATACAGGTATCAGTGACACAGTATCAACATCTAGCCCCTGTATTAGTCATGAAGTAATTACAGTCTGTACCGGAATGAGTGACACAGAAATGGCAGTCTGCACTGGTATCAGTGACACAGTAACAAGAGTCCGCACAAATATTAATGACATGGTAACAACAGTCTTTACAGGTACCTGCACTGTAACAAAAGTCTCTACAGCCATCACTGACATGGTAACGACATCTGAACAGGTTTCAGTAACACAGTAATAACAGTTTGTACTGGTATCAGTGAAATTGTAATAACTGTCTGTACAGGTATTAGTGACACCGTAACAACAGTCTCACAGTATCAGTGACACTTTGTTAATAGTCAGTCTCAGTATGAGTGACACAGTAACAACAGCTTGTACAGGTATCAGTGACACAATAACGACAACCTATACAGGTATCAGTGACACAGTATCAACAATCGGTCCCAGTACCAGTGGCACAATAATGACAAGCTGTACCGGTATCAGTGACAGTGAAACAACAATCTATACAAGTATCAGCAACATGGCAACAAAATCTTGTACCAATATCAGTGTCACAGTAGTAATGGTTTTTATCGGCATCAGTGACACAGTAACAATAGCCTGTACAGGTATCAGTGACATTGTTATGACAGTCTGCACTGGTGTCAGTGACACAGTAATAACTTGGTGTACCAGTATCAGAAGCATGTTAATGAGTTACAGTCACTCTAATGATATTCCACTATCAAGTTCTACTAGGTAATCCCTCTGACTCTTTAACTTAAGACATAGTATAATATTAGATATTCTTACTTTCTGATTGGATGCAGGCCGGTAGCACACATTCTTTATTTCGAGTCTCAACAAGCTGTGGAGAATCAAAATAGATACAATTGTCAACAGTGAATTCAGACAGAGACACACTGCTTGTGGTTGGTCACTGCAGTTTCCAGCATTGATCAGGTTATGTGGTTTTTTCAAAATTCTTTCACAGGATGTAGGTGTCATTGTCTGGGTCAGTATTTATTGCTTATCCCTAGTTGCCCTTGAGAAGGTGGTAGAGAACTGCATTCTTGAACCACTGCAGTCCATTACTGTAGGTTGATCCACAATGCTGTTAGGGAGGGAATTCCAGGATTTTGACCTAGAGACAGTGAAGGAGTGGCAATATATTTCCAATTCAGGATGGTAAGTGACTAGGAGGGGAAATTGCACACGCTGGTGTTCTCATATATCTGCTGCCCTTATCCTTCAAGATATTGGTGGTCATGGGTTTGAAAAGTGCTAAGTATCTTTGGTAAATTTCCGCAGTCTGATCTTGTGGATACTACTCAATGTTGCTACACAGCACCGGTGGTGGAAGGAGTGAATGATGGTCGATGTGGTGCCAATCAAGCAGGCTGCTTTGTCCTGGATGGTGTTGTGTTTCCTGAATATTGTTGGAGCTGAACTCATCCCGGCAAGTGGGCAGTATTCTATCAGATGCCTGACTGGTGCCTTCTAGATGGTGGATGGGCTTCTGGGAGTCAGGTGGTAAGTTATTTGGTATAAAATTCCTAGCTTCTGACCTGTTCTTGTAGCCACTGTATTTAAGACTACGAGAAATAAGAACAGGAGTAGGCCATTTAGCTTTTCAAGCCCGCTCCACCATTCAAAAGGACCATAGCTGAGCCAACACTCCAGTTGTCTTGCATTTTCCCTATAATCCTTGATTCCCCTACTGATCAAGAATTTATGTCAGCCCTAACTGTACATAAGGACTCCCCCATAGCTCACTGTGGCATGGAATTCCAAAAACTCATGACCTTTTGAGAGAAGAAATTCCTCTGCATCTCAGTCCTAGATTGGTGCTCCTTCTTTCTGAGACTACGCTCCCTGGTCCTAGACTCTTCCATGAGGGGAATCATCCCCTCAGCATTTACTCTGTCAAAGGAGGTTCAAGAAACAGAACACTTACAGGAACAGTTTTCTGGATATTTTTCCTCCATGTTGTGGTAACCAGTGATGTTTGATAGGATACATAAACAAATGAAAGAATAACTGAAACTTTCCTGAAAGGTGAAAATAATTCAAAGGGAATATTATGTGCCATCACTAAATGAGGGTCAGAAAGTGGATCCTGAATTAAACAAATTGGCACAGTCAGCTTATACTGTAAGTACAGGCCAAAGGAGTGCTACTATTTTAAGAACGGAGTGCTGATGAGGAAGTAAAAAACTAAAGTTGTCATAGTTCCAAAGGACTGCACTCACATTAGAGAGAGTCTGGTGGTGGTTTAACCTGAGGGTTGCCACACCTTAGGTGAGGGGTGAGGTTGAGAAGGTGGGACCTTCACAGTAACTTCAGCAAGTGTGGGAATTAAACCTGAGCTGTTTGCATCATTCTGCATCACAAACCAGCCATCCAGCTAATTGAGCTAACCGACCTCCTGAGTGGAGACCTTCTCACAGACCCATAGATTAAGACTAGCCAGTTGTAAATCAGATAGCAATACTGCCCAGCTGTAATCGAGAGATATTGTGAGTAGCACATGACATTCCTATGGCAGCACAAGTGAGGATTTGATAACACAGGTGTCCATAAACAGGTATTTTACCAGGCCAAAATTGCATAAAGATGTTCTGCAGTTTTGTAAAACATCCATATTTGTCAAGTTGTAGATAAACAATGCAACAACTATAAATTTCAAAGCTAGAGGTGAAATTTTGGTTCAGAGATAGTAGGAACTGCAGATGTTGGAGAGTCTGAGATAACAAGGTGTAGAGCTGGATGAACACAGCAGGCCAAGCAGCATCATAGGAGCAGG